AAGTGTGTGCGGCAGGAACCAGGGGCAGGGGCTGAGGGATGGATGACCAGGGCGCTCTTCGCCCTGAGACCAGCCTGTTCCTGGGGGTCTGTCTGCTGGCTCCATGGGGGGCCCAGTCTCGGGGGTCTGGAGGAAGGCGAGGAGCTTAACCAAAATTTGGTTCCATCCCTGATGACCGGTGGAAACAAGCAGTTCGGGCAATCGTTTACGAAGAAGGAAAGGGGATTTTGAGGTCTGTACCTGGCCTTGTCACAGGTACACTAGGTCATATGCAGAAGGAGGTTCTTTGCCATAACCCGTTTTCCAGAATAAAAAGGTTCTTTTGAACCGCCGTCTTCCAGGAGCACACGGGACGCAGGTAACACTGTTCTCACCAGTGGGCTGGCTCTGAAAATAGCAGGAATGCCCGTGGTGTCCACAGTGAAATACAAGAACGGGGAGACCACAGGCGCTGACCTTTCTCCTAGTAATTGTTAAAATCTGCAAGAAGCGTGCACGCGGCCACGGGCAGAGCTGGTGTGGCCGCTGCAATCAGGCACCCGCTGGGCTATCTGCTGCTGTCTCTGCCCCCCTCCCTGGGGCTCAGGGTTCAAGAGCGCCTCCCCAGGAAGCCCGAGCCTGGGGAAGCTCCGTGGTTTTCAGCCGGGAAAGCCACACTAGTCACCAGAATGCCCGTCACTGTGGTCTGGGCCAGGGTCAGGACACTCGGCCTCCTCGGCACCAGGCCCCGTGCTGGACGCCGGCCAGGCCTCGGGCTCTGTTTTCCAGGCAGAGCACGAGGGAGCAGCTCCGGAGCAGCAGGCGCTGCCGCCCTGGCCCCTGGCGGTCAGTGGCTGTTGCTGTGGTTCCTGGCTTGCGACAGTCGCCCACAGGATGGGAAACCCCGAGGGGACAGGCTTTGCTTTGTTGGAGGCTGCGGTCCCAGTGACAGTTTGCTGAATGCAGAGGGCTGAGCCCCCAGGGCATTGGGGGTGTCTTCCAACCCCAGGGGGGAGGGGGAATTCTGTGCGCCCAGGGCTGGAGGTATACGTGGGCGGGGTTCCAGTGCCAGACTGAGAGTTTGGAGGGGCTGCTAAAGGTTATGGGGAGGCGCTGAGGGTTTTGAGCAGCAGAGTGAGCTGGTCCTCGGATCAGCCCTGTGTAGGGTCAGAGGCTGCGGTTTCTGTTTGAGAGCAGATGCAGCGCCTGCCCCACCCCCCTCCCGCACCAGCCTCCTCCAGGATCAGGCTGGGGGTGGCCCGGTGCCCGGCCATATGCGTACTGGGGACCTGGGCGCGAGGGGACTGGTCTGAAACTGCAGCCCGAGTGGGAACGACTGAATCTGGAAGGGAGGCTCAACCTTCCAAGTCGATGCTCTGCTGCTGGTTTCCCCTCAGAAGTGCCTTTAGCGCCCCCTGCTGCCAGTGCCTGGAAGCACACTGGAGCTTTCGGGGAAAGAAAATGAAAAGAAAGGCAGAGCGCCCCCACACCCCATCCCGGCAAAGCCGCTGCACCGAGGGCTGTTGGCTAAGCACCGTCGCCAAAATACTGACTCCGTACATGCCTCTCATGACTGAAATGCGCCCGACACGCTTGCCATCCTCGTCCTCTCTGTCCCCGGGCAGCGCTCACCGGCGACCTCGGGTAGGACACTGCGGGAAGCATGGCCAGGCAAGGCTGCCACCTGCTGGTCACACTGGGCGCTGCCGGCAGACGGCCTGTCGGGAGCGGGTGCCTGGTGTCCTGGATCAGAGCTGCGGGGAGCGGCAGCCTTTAGGGCTCCTCAGAAGGGCCCTTTCCTCTGGCTGGAAGGAAGCAGAGTCTCCAGTCTCCCTTGGATCCCTGTGGGCCTCTCGAGGGAACAGCTCCAGGGGCCCGGGAGCCTTTTGGGCGCCACAAGTTGGATTAAGCCCTCAAAGTAATGTATTTCAAAGCATAACATAAAATAATAGGATTACAGAGGAAACCAATTATACTGACTTGTGGGTATCAAAACAGTGATTGTACTGTATCTACTTAGTGAACTAAGCTCCAGCCGCAGGCAAATGCCCGCAGTGCTTTGGGGGCCGCCATCAGCACAGACGACGGTGTGAGATCCCTCCGCAATCAGAATGTGGTGGGAAAACGCCGGTGACTTCCACCAGCGCCAAAGTCATAGCCACCGCAGACCCCACCTCCCCTCTTTGCCTAGATTTATGGTGGAAGGGAATGCCACCATTTCGTTAAAGGTTTTTAACACCGAAGATGCCATTTCTTCCGTTAAAGTTTGTGGATTCTCTCCATGGACCCCTTGGGGGTCAGGCACCCCAGGTTAAGAGCCCCTGGCCCAGACCCCGCCTGGTGGCCCCCCACCCCTCCTCAGCACCCTGGCCAGCTGCCAGGCAGGCCCCAGCCCCAGCTTGCTCCTCCGGGCTCTGGCACACCCTCCACATCCCAGCTGCCCCTCCCAACCTCATGATCCCACCTCCTCGACAAAGAACGAGGTGTCCTCTGCAGGGCCAGCTGTGGCTTCCTGCCCTGGGGACAGACAGACCTCAGGACTGATTTCCGAAATGCCATCACAGTTTGGGGCAGCTCTGGGTCCTCTGGGCAGGGAAGAACACCCCACACCCCAACAGCAGTCCCTCTCTCTAGGGTACAGGCCAGAAGACCTCCGGGTCCCGTCACCTGGACATGACCACGCAACCCAGACCAGAGCTTGCAGGTCATTTGTCCTTCCAGACAAGCTGGGGAGACATCACATCCTTTCTTTAGAATCTTGTCTTTCCTCTCCGGTTGCTGTGAGGACTGAGTTTTTCTTGGGGAGGGGGTGCCATTCTTCACCCTCCTTGCCTTGATGATATTTAATAAGCACCTACTGTGTGCCAGGCATTGTTCTGGGGGCTGCGACTAGAAATAATGAACTCAGAATGCAAGGGCCCTTTTTCTTGGAGGTTTTATTTCATGGAGGGAGACAGATGCAATAAATAAATTCATAAAAGTAACAGTATGTTAGAAAGTGACCGGTGCTTTCTGGGGTGGAGAATGTGGGGTACGTGAGGCGGGGAGTGCTGGGTCAGTGTCACTGAGCAGGTGACGTTTGAGCAGATGTGAAGAAGGCGAGGGGGGAGCCCCATGCATGTGCAGGGAAAAGCCTCCAGCAGGGGGAACAGCCACAGCAAAGCCCCGAAGAACACAGAGCTAAGGGGATGAGCAACGGGAATGAAGTCTTCAAGGTCAAAGGTCAAAGGGTCAGGTCACCCAGGACTTGCAGCCACCGGAAAAACTCTAAGCTGGGAGGTGATTGCGGGTTCAGACGGAGGAGGACGCGGTCCTGGTGTGGTTCTGAGGACACTGTGGGCAGGGTGAGGGGACAGTGGGACAGGAAGGCTCCGCAGGGGCTGGGGAGACCAGAAGTGGTTGTGTACAGGCTCTGGTTTGGAGCACTTCCTGTTGGATGGACTTGACTGTGACAGATGGAGCCACCAGAACAGACACGGGGAAAGTGTACGCGTTTCCCGTGGCCACCGGCACGCCAGACAACGGAAACCTGTTCTCTCCCGGGGCCGGAGGCCAGACACCAGAAATCAAGGGGTTTCAGTGAATCGTGTCCCTCCAGCATTCCTGTGTTGCCTCATCAGCCCCAGCACCCCAGAACACGGAGACGGGGCCACTAAGGGGGGTCAGGTTACAACCCGGCCACTCGGGTGGCCCAGATCCAGCAGAACTGGTGTCCTCACAGGAAGACGAGGTTAGAACACGGACCCACGGAGGGAAGACGGAGTGAGGACCCAGAGAGAAGGCGGCTGGCTGTCTTCAAGCCATGGCAGAGGCCCCAGAAGGAACCGGCCCACCAGCACCTTGATCTTGGACTTGCTGCCCCCAGAACTAAATACATTCCAGCTGTGTGAGCCGCCCAGTCTGTGGTTTGCAGCCGGAGCGGACTAGCACCGTCGGACCTCGGAGGTGCCGTGGGTGTGGCTGCGGAACGCCACAATGAAGCGAGTTGTGACCTCTTCTCCGGCGAAAGATCTGGCCTACCCTTTGTAAAAACCGCAGCATTGGTGACGCGCAGCCAAGTGAGGCGCGATAAACCGATGTGTGCCTGCACGAGTCTGTCCCCTGCCGCCCCCAGCTCTGGTGGCGGACAGCTGCCCACCGAGTTGGTGGGGGTGGGGGGTCAGAGGTGGGCCTCATGTGGCAGCCTCTGCCCCGCGTGCCAGTGATGCTAAAGCCCCAGAAAGTTCCGCAGATGGCTTGTTCCCTCAAAGTGGGGTTTTCCCAGAGTGGCGCAGCATGGGGCAGAGGCAGGGTCCGCTCCCACCTGTGTTCCGCTTGGGGTGCGCCTGCTGGGTGCTGGGTGCTGCGGGTGGTGGGAGAGCAGCGGTAATGAAGAGAAGCACCCAAACCTCTTACAGGAGGAGAAGAGCTTAGGAAGGGTGTCCACACAGAGGGTTCCAGTCCAAGGGTGGTCCTGGGCCCAGCAGGGTCCGCGGGGCTCTTGCTAGAGATGCAGAATCTCGGCCCACACTCCAGCTGCCCTCATGAGGACGGGTCACTGAGCGAGACCTCCCTCGCTCTTCATGTACGTCCGGGTCAGAGAAGCCCTGCCGGAGACCGGGGTTCTCACACCTCACTGGCGCACCGGGGTCCGAAGGCCCGTGGACACAGGGGCGCGGCCCCCTCCCCAGGTGTGGGCGGGGCCTGAGGACCTGCATTTTCAGCAAGGGCCCAGGCCTGGTGGACTGGATCCGCTGGATCTAGTCTGATCCAGTGTCAGACTTGGCTGCACCTTGGTCGCCAGGGGGCGCCTGGACCCTCCTCCAAGAGACCCTCGCCAGACCCTCCTCAGAATCTGATTGGCCGGTGACGCGGAGGGAGCCGCGGTCTGAGAATCATGGACCGAGTCTTGGGGCCCCAGACAGCAGCTCCATCCTGTCACTTCATGGAAGGGACATCCTGCGGCGGCGGAGAACCACTCAAACGGGCGTGCGTGGGGAAGTGAGAGCCCCGGGCCGCCCCGCAGGGGAGAGACTATACACTCACAGCACACACACTTTATTCGGCGATGACGGCGTGTTTCACGAGCATGAGCTGCGCGACAGTGTTTTCTGCACAAAGCCTGAGCGCGGAGGTCTACAGCCGCTGAGTTCCCGCCCCACTCCCTGCCCCCACCAAACTGAGGCCCCGGTTGCTCCCAGCACCCCTGCACGGTTGGCTGGGGCCTCACTGCGTCTCCGCTGCCCCCAGAAGCCGCTCCCTCCAGCTGCTCCGCCTGCCCCAGCCACTGGGCTGCAGGCGAGAGCACCCGGCTCGGTTCCCCTGCCTCTCCCTTCTCGGACCTCCAGGGGGCAGCGGGGCAGCAAGACCACCGTCCCCTCCCAGGGATTCCAAGTCCCCACCAGCTCGACTTCTCTTTGCTTCAAGGCCTTCTTCTCAGTGGGAGTTATTAGCGTGGTCTCAGTGTAAGAGGGCGCCATTTATAAAAGCACTTTGCACTCGCCAAGTATTAGCCCCGCCCCCACCAAGCAGGCAGGGAACAAGGTGTCCTTCCGGTGGGACCAGGGAGCCGCAGGGACAGTGCACAAAGGGACAGACCAGGACCCAGGAGCTGTTGGGCCCAAGTGGAGAAGGTCAGATTTCATCTTAGTTCCAGTTCGGAGTACGTCCCGGCGACCGACTGAACTGATGCGGAGAAAACCACTGGAGATGTCCTCGCGACACACGTGTGTGTGCCCACCTGTCTCTACGCGTGGCCTTTCACGATGCATCCCTAGCCGTCTGTCACCTTCCTCCTAGCTCTCGGGGCTGCCTGGGGGCGGAAGGCTGGAACCCCACGTAGACGGCGGACGTGCCAATGCGCGAGGGTGGGGCAAGGGGCAGCCAGGCACGCCCGGAGCGAGGACGGGCCGCGTCAGAGCGCAGCGTCCGCCCACTTGGGGCCTCTTCAAAGGTTGGGGCTTATGTTGGTGGCTGCGCTGCACAGATGAACAGACGGCTGGGGGTGTGACGAGGGGGGCTCGTGGCAGCGGCTGGACTGTACAGATGGTTGGTCGGCCGGGGCGGACCCCTCCTGCTGCACCCAAGCGGCCGGCTGGCAGTCAGTAAAGCGGAGAGGGGCGGGGGGCGCTCACACCGTGTAGGTTTTGACCGGCTTGTAGAGGGGCGGCAGCAGCCCGTGGCTCTCACGGACCACCTCCAGGTACTCGGAGGGTGTCTCCAGCAGGAAGGGCCCACAGCACATCTGGCAGCACCTGGCCCCCGTGGGCGGCTCCGGGTTCTTGTCAGACACGGGGGAAAAGTCAAAGTCAGCCACCTGGGACGAAGAAATAACCCCACGGGTCAGTCGCCCGCCCACACAAGGTGGCCTCCCAAGCTTGGCTGCCTGGCGGCAGCGTGCACTGAAACACCTTTCTGGTCCCACCTAGCGCGTCACTGTGCCCTGGGCGTTTCTGCTCCCCGGGGCTCCCTCTGCAGGTGGCCCTCCCCCCGCCAGCTCGTGGGCCCAGCTGCCAGGCAAGGGGCGAGCACAGGGGGTAAGTCAAAAGGGAAGGAGCCAACTCAGCCATTTCCCCTGGTTTGCAGGTGCCTTTTGCGTACGCCTCCCCGAGCCCCACGGCCTGGCGCTGGGGTCCAGACCCCTCCCACGCCCTCTGGCCCAGCCCCCAGGTCCTCTCCACACACCCCCGCTCCATCCTCATCCTCTCAGGGCCCGGGGGCCCAGCCCCCACCCTCCCGAGCACCCACCTCCACCATGTCCTTCTGGTGAGTGGAGCTCCTCAAGGTCATGTACATGATGAAGGCCAGCATCACGGTGAAGAGCGTGGCACAGGGGAAAGCGAAGACGGCCGGCTGGATGCCTGGGAGGGAGAAAGCAGAAGTCACGGACCTCGGTGTCCGGGCTGCACGCCGGCTCTCGGGAGGCCACGGTGGGGGCGGGGGGAGAGAAGAGTCACCCCCACCCCACCCCACCCTGGAGCTTTTTCCTTAGGGGCCTGCCTCCCAGCTGGGCAGCTTCGAGAGGCAAAGCCAGGATTCCACGAAAACCAAGTCGGCATGGGTGAGGGTCGTGGAATAGGGTGCGTCCACAGGTGTGGACAGTAACCTCCAAGAGCTGCAGCTCAAGTCCCCACCCCTGGGTGCTGGCCGGACTTCGTGACTGGCTCCTAGTGAACAGCATAGGACGGGGGTGGCGGCTCAGGACTTCCCAGTCCAGGCCACGACAGACATCACAGCCTCCTCCTGGCTCTCCCTCGGCGGCTGGCGGTGGGAAGGGAGGCCACACTGGGAGGGCCCCGAGCCCCGCCCCCCACTGCCCTCCCCTCTGTCGCAACTTCGTGCCCTCTGGACGCCCTGGGCTCGCTCACCGATCCTGGCGTCAGGAAGCCTCAGGGCAGAGCAGGAAGCGCCCGGGGTCTAAAGGTAGGCGGCCCTGGGTTCAAATCCTGCCTCTGACCAGGCTACCTGATGCTGACGCCGCACCTGGAGCCTACCACGGGGATGCGATCAGGTGAGGTGCGAAGGTGCCAGGTGCACGGCAGGCGATTAGCAGGTGCGAGTTCCCCCTCACTCTCCGCTCGCCTCCGCCTGCTGGGCGTTCCCTGCCTACAGACACCAGCATACACCGTGAGGGCGTTTCCCGAGCAACGGTGGTATGGATGACCCAGACTGCTGTCTTGTCCACCAAATTCAGGGTTTTCCTGGGAACTCAGTACCCAGGAGGCGCTGGGGGAGGCAGGGCCCCAGGCCCCCAAGGGCTCCCACGGGTCAGAATCTGCCTGTCCCGCCAGCTCAGCCAGGGCCTGGAGTGGGGTGCGGGGCCTGGGGAGACTGGAGGGGCCAGGGCCGCTGGGAGGGCTCCCCCCTTTTGTACTATACAGGGGACCTGCCTGGGCTTCTGGGAGATCATCCCCGAGGGGTTTGGGACCCACCCCTCTACCCCACGTAGGGAAGCACTCGTCTTGGGTCACAGAAGAGCCCCCATGGAGACCAAAGGGAGAACCTCATGCGGTCACCCGCGGCTGCGGCCCTGAGCCAGCGTCTGGGCCTGGTGACGGCTGGGGGAAGGGTGCTCAGGAGTGAGAGGGACCGTGCCACGCACTTCCTGAGCCGCTCACACTCCCCGGGGACCCACGACAGCCCCACGCGTCCCAGTCACCCCTGAAGATGCTGGCTTGAGTGGCGGTGACCCTTCCCTGGCGGACAGAGACCCTGCACTGGGCGGGGGACGGATGGGGCTGCATTGCGGTCATGGAGGCCCATTCCGTACGGGAGTGTTCACGTTGGGGACATGTGTGGCGTTGGTAACGTGGAAGGGACGTTGATGGCAATGCTGGGGACAGCAAGCGAGCAGAGAGGCTGGGGTGGCATGGCGGGGGTGGCATTGGTCCAGTGGCCAGGGGCTGGCAGGAGGGGCGTGAAGGAGGGTGCGGATGGGAGTGGCGATCATGGAGCTGCCTGCTGGTTCTGGACGGAGCTGGAAGAGCGGTCAGCGGTGCGTGTGGCCACGGCGGCAGCAGTGCCGCTCCAGTGGCTGGTGGTGGCTGAGGCGGCTGTTGGTGCTGCCGGGGGTGTGGTGTCGAGGGTGGCGCTGGCAGGAGGATCGGTGGTACCGGTGGAATTGGCCCAAGAAGGGTGTGGGCAGTCGGCCAGTGGTGTCGGTTGGGGTCAGTGGGGCTATTGATGATTCTAGCGTTGAAGGGGGTGGTTGTGGACGGCTCGGCCCGAGCGGCCTGGGGGCAGGTTGGCCCTGAAGCGGAAGGGGGGGTCACTTACTGGAGGGCCACACCCGGATCCTGTGGTACTGGTGCGTCTTGCTGATGACATTCTCAGCCCAGATGCTGAAGCAGTAGTCCCCGGGGGCCCGGAAGACGTGGGTCAGATTGTAGGCCGTGCTGGCCACGGACACGGGGTGACACTCCCCTTCTCCCAGCGGGAGGCACTTGGGCTTGAGGCGCCAGCACACGGTCAGCGGGGGGCTGCGGGGAGATGCGGGCGGTGGTCGGAAATGGCTCCGAGGGGAGTGTGAACACAGGCCAGGTGCGAGAAAGGCCAGGTGGCCATGAACTTCGGTGTCCTTCCCAGGACAGAACAGCCAGCTGTCCTGGCCTCCACTTCACACCTTTCAGACCGGGGCAGAGAAGAGTGTCTGGAGACGGCCTCGGGCCCCGAGGGGATTCTGGGCCAGCGAGACAGACAGAGCCACGCACAGACGGCTGGACGAGGCAGCACGGATGCCCAGCGACACGCGTGGTGTGCCGTGTGTGCGTCTCCCAGAGGGGGTGACACCTGCGGGGGATCTGAGAGGCCGCCTCGGCTGGCGGTGGGTGTAAAGGGGACAAGAGCGTTCCGTGTCACCTGCCTGCCGCAGCAGGGGCTCAGATGCCGCAGACGCAGGGCCACCTGAGGAGCGTCCAGTGGGAATTCCCGTCTTACCCGACGCCTGGCTCGAGGGAAACACACGCTCAGCACGCCCACGTGTCCTCCCACCCCGTCTCCGGGCGGGGGGATGGGGTTCCTGCCTCCAAAGTGCCCCCACCAAGCTTTAGTAGCCACGCCAATCCCACAGCAGGTCTTTCTCCTTCCGCGGCCACGGCCACGCTGCTCCTTCTCCGTCCAGCCCCGCCTCCCTTGGACACGCCCCCATGGGGCGGGGCTGGGGGGATCGTCCCCACCAGAGTCCCTGCAGGGCTGGGCCCTGACTGCTGCCCCCTGCAGCTCCTTCTGTCCTCGCGAGGCAAACCCTCCCGGCCTCTCTGTGTCCTGTCGCTTGCTGCAAACTCAGTTTAATGCCTTTCTTGCCAAGAGCTGGGCCACATCCTACGCGAGATGGCTCGCTTTCCAGGCGCCTGGGACGCAGACCTAAGTCACATACAGAGGGCCGTTCATTCACAGGGGTGGTCCCTCACTGCCATTGCCCTGAGGCCCACACTGCAGACAGCCCCGAAGGGCCCGTGCTCCCTCCCCTGGCCCCTGAGCCCACAGCCCCGGCACAGACGAGGGGCTGGGGGGCATCATCCCTCTGAGAGCCCCCAGACATGGGGCGCGTCAGGGTGAGGAGGGTCTGAGGATCTCCCGAGGGAGAGAGTGGGCTGGGCTGCGGGCCACACACAGAGCCCTCTGGGGTTCACTTACCTCCCCAGGAAGTTCAAGGTCACTGTCATCTTTTGGAAGGTCTGAATTTGGTTGGGCCCCAAGACCTGGATGCCTCGAAGAGTCTCTGAAAGGCAGAGGACCCCATTCACCCTGGTGGCTCAGGGCTCCCGGAGCCCGGACTGTGGGACCGCCCCCTCCCACTAAAGCCAGGGAGAGATGGGTTCCAGTGTCCCTTCCCTGCGCAGGAGACCGAGGCACAGTCCACTGTGCCTTGTGCCCTGGACCAGAGGCCGATGTGGCCAGGCAACAAGAAGCCCTCCGCCCGCACCAGCCCCCCGAGACCCACCCTGCAGCCTCAGCGAGGCGGAGAAGTCCCCCGTCTTCTGCACGACGCCCTTCCCAGCGTGCAGCGTGGCCTGCTCCCACTCTGCCACCACCTGCAGCCTCACGGTGAAGGTCCCGACGATGGAGTAGTTGTGATAGACCACCGGGTCTTCCGTCACCATCTGGGTGCTGGAAGGCGACAGGGAGGAGTCAGAGGACAGGAGTGACTCATGGGACTTCTCAGAGTCAAGGGTGGCTGCACCGTGACACGCCCTGGCTACCGGTTCCTCATGACGTACGGGCTCAGCAGTGGGACTGGGGGCACTCAAGCGGGTGAGAGGTCTCCCCTGTGCACTGCCCTTGCATGAACTTGAGGTGTCTGTGACCTGCCTGACCCCCGCTCCCCGACCTGCCTCCCGCAGCCGGGCTTGTTTGGAGAGACGTTTGGGAAATGAAGCCACAACGGGTCCCTCCAAAGTCAAATGGGGAAAAAAAATCCTTCCTACCTTGACCTTTTTTAAAGGGCCATTTGGGGCACCAGCGGCCTCTGTCAGCTTGCAGGCTCACCGCTGGTCCCCGTGCACCCCGAGCTCAGCACAGAGCAGGGGCTCGAGGAGGGCTCGGAGTGGGAGTGAGCGGGTGAGTGAAGGCGGGGGGCAGTGCAGAGCACCCCGCCTGGGAGGACAGGGCCACGACCTCGGGCCAAGGCCTTGGGGCTTCCTGGGGGGAAGGACGTACCCGTCTCCAAAGTCCCAGCTGTAGAGAAATGAGGCCGTCTTGAAGAAGCTGCTGGGGTCGTGGAGGAGGAAGGACACTTTAAGGACCGTCTTGGTGAGATAGGAGCTGGGTCTGGGCAAGGACAGGTTCTGGGTGACAGTGAGGTTCCCCGCAATGAACTCTGGGAGAGAGAGGTGGAGGGAGGGTGAGACCACTGAGATGTCGAGAGGGCAGAGCCAGCAGTGACCTCACCTGCCCGCCTGCCCAGCAGCCTCCCCCACCTGACCTCCCTGTCAGAGCTGGGTGCCTGTGAGAGGGGACCCTGCGGGTCGCTGTGCACAGAGGCCCCTGTGTCCCCGAAGTCACTGCGCCTGCTGTGCGGACCTGCTGAAGACATACAGCAGGGGTGACATGCATCGCTTCACGCCTGCACCCCTTTCACGGGGACCCCGAACTTTCTGGCACAAAAGATGCCCAGAATCAAGAGGAAATGCACAGGCTTTGGAAAGGAACTTCTGGGAAATATGTCAAAGGATCAGGTGAGCCTTAAAAATGTGATCAGCCTTAAAAATGTGATCATCACGGATGCATCTCCACACCCAGCATTCAGGGCCAGGGAAGGACCTCCGCTCTGTGTCCTTCTCTAAAACAAACAAAGAGAAGCCCTGGCTGGTGTGCCTCAGTGGACTGAGCACCGACCTGAGAACCAAAGGGTCGCCAGTTCAATTCCCAGTCAGGGCACGTGCCTGGGTTGTGGGCCAAGTGCGTGAGAGGCAACCATGCAGTGATGTTTTTCTCCATCTCTTCCTCCCTTCCCCTCTCTCTAAAAAGGATAAATAAAATCTTTTTTTTATTGAAGAGCTGATTTTTTTAACCACAAAAGCGGAAAGTAAGGTGTGCTTAATCATGCTCATTTGCAAAATGCTGAAAAGTGGGATGAAAAGCAAAGAAGCACCCTAGCACTCAAACACAACCATTGTTGACACTTTTGAAGAACTGCAAAGTGTTGGTGTGTGCATGTGTATATGTTTATTAAACACACTTGATCAAATTAGTGATACAATTTTGTCTTGCTTTTTAAAGTTTGACGAGCATGGGTGCTCTCCAGGACATTACAAACTCTAGGTAGAGGTCATTGTTATTCATGGTACAAATTATACCAGGATCCTTAACCCTTTCCCCTGTGACTGCATACTTAGCTTGTTCCTGTTTCCCTCTACTATTATTAACACCACTACAATGAACACCTTTGTGCATAAGGCACCACCCAAACGGAAGTTTATTTCCTGAAGATAAACTTGTTAAGAGATTGTGAACTCCAAGAGAGCAGGAACTTCTTAGAAGGAGAAAAGAGGGTGAGGGAGAGAGAGAGAATGAAGGTGAGTGGGCTAAAGAGTAGAATAATGGGCCCTGGCTGGCATAGCTCAGTGGATTGAGCTTGGGCTGCAAACCAAAGCATCGCAAGTTCGATTCCCAGTCAGGGCACATGCCTGGGTTGCAGGCCACGGCCCCCAGCAACCGTACACTGATGTTTCTTTCTCTCTTGCTCTCTCTTTCTCCCTCCCTTCCCTCTCTAAAAATAAATAAATAAATAAAAATCTTTTTTAAAAAAAAGAGTAGAATAATGGATCCCCGTGAATCAGCTGCTCCCCAAGGGGCTGGAGTAACTTGCACCCCCAGTGGCAACAGGCACGTGATGTGGCGGTTTGAGCACAGCCCTGCGGCAGAGGGCTCCACCGCATTCCGATCCTCTGTTAACTCGACTGGTGACCGAGGGGGACCCACGGGTCTCCTGTGCGTGCCTGCGATCGCTCACGGGGCTGGGTGTTTTCTCTGCACCCCGAGTCTGAAGGCAGATTAGCAGACAGGACCGGTCCTCACCTGTGATGGAGAGCACGAGGGCACTCCTCGCCACGGGCTGGCACCTCCAGCAGCTGGCGGCCGTGACCCAGACGGACACGGGGAAGTCCCCGGGCACGCTCCCCACAGCACGGATGGAGGAGCTGAAGGCCTCCTCCGTCTTCCCCGTGAGCAGCAATGGGGAGTGGACCCAGTGGAAGCGGTAGAAGTGAGTGTCGGTGGGCAGGTCCAGGCTGCCGTTGTCACTGGCCACCAGGCTGGCGGTGACGGTCACCTCTGCCCCGGTGGTGGCAGGACTATCCGTGACGAGGTGAAGCTCATACAGGCCTAGGAACCAAAAAACAAAAGCTACCTTTCAGGAGGGGCACATGGCAAGGAAGCCCACGGCCACCCTCTGAGCTGGCCTCCATCACTCTGCTTAAGAGTGGAGAACCCGAGGCCCAGGCAGCCCAGGTGACTTGCCCAAGACTCATACGACGAGTTCACCCTGAAGCTGGGGTTGCAACCTGGGCCCAGCTGACTCCGAACCACACGCCCTTCCCGGGGCCCCCAGTTTACATCACAGGGCATGTGTGTGGCCCGGGCCTGCCCCGCCTGGACTGCGGCTCAGCTCTGATGCGTGCCTGCCCGCGCACATCTCGGGAGGAACCCCGGCGGCCGCTGCTGAGAAACACCCGCCGTTCCCCGCTGCTGGGCACTAGTCCGCGTCCGCAGAACTCCAGCTCGACACGCAGAGCTGAGCCCGGCCCCTGGCACAGGCTGGGCGCCTGGATTGTGCAGAAGGTCCACCCTCATCCGAGCCAGGACCCCTTCCTTCCCTCTCGGTCTGAGTTTGTCAGCCGAAGATGTGAGAGGTTCTAGATCGGCACCACCGAACTCGGGAGCAACCAGCCACCTGTGACTGAGGGTCACTGTGGTGGACAGGGTGGACCCAGGACCCTCACTGCTGCAGAGGGTTCCGTCGGGCTGCGCTGCTCTCAGCGACCTCCAGGGGTCCCCATGGGGCAGATGCTGGAACTCTGTGATTCCAGGAGGGTCGACTGACTCCTCGGAGAAATACGCGGGATGCAGCTCTTAGGGGGAACCCCGGCCTGAGTCTTGCAGGCTGCCGCAGGTGAGCGGGACCTTCAGCGAGTGGGATGCAGACCTTCTAAATAACACTCCCCTCCCGACCCCCGCACTGAAGGTGAGACTAAAGGCAACCTGCAAATAAAGTATAAAACAGAAACTAAAAACTATAGTTTATGAGAGCCCCAGCTGGTGTGGCTCAGTTGGTTGGGCATCAGCCTGCAAGTCGAAAGGTTGGCGGTTCGACTCCCAGTCAGGGCACATGCCTTGGGTGCAGGTTTGGTCCCCGGTCAGGGCACATTCGAAAGGCAACCAATCAATGTTTGTCTCTCACACTGATGTTTCACTCCCTCTCTTTCTCCTTCCCTTGCCCTCTCTCTATAAATACATTAATTAATTAAAATATTTTATTAAGAATTATAATCAGTAACAATCATTGTTACCAGATTTGGGCATTTCCTTTTTTTTTTAATCCTCACTCAAGGACATAATTTTTTTCCCATTGGTTTTAAAGAGATGGAGAGAGGAGGAGAGAGAAACATCGATGCAAGAGAGAAGCACGGATTGGTCGCCTCCTGCACGTGCCCGGGCCAGGGTCACGTGCACCCAGACCGGGAATCGAACCCACGGCCCAGGTATGCGCCCCAACCGGGAATCACACCCACCCCTCAGTCACAGGACGATGCTCCTACCCCTGAGCCACACTGGCCAGGCTCCTACCGTTTGTTAACCCTGCTCTTACTCTGGGACTGTGTCGTCTATTGTTCTTTTCAGTGCTGAACCGCAGGCATTTCCCTAAGTCGTTATTCTTCAGCTGCTTTAGAGAGTTGCATATTTCATCACACAAACAAGGTAAGACTTTAAAACTAAGGCTCGTTTCCATCATAAAGCCCGTCCGTATGCATAAAGAGTATCACGAATGTCCTCCCAAAGGATCATCCTGTCTCTTTCTCACGCATAAAAGTTTTTTAGTTATAATCACACTCTGCACACCATTTGGAATTATTTTAGCCATTAGCACACAGTAGGTGCTCAACAATGCTGGTGCTGAGTGGCACCTGGAGAGAAGGGTGGGGCAGAGGGGCCAGCCGACCTGGCGAAGTCCGGAGACACAGTTCACCTGTCCCTGGGCCGCACCCCCACAGGTGTTAGGGGACCAGAAGTGCAGATGTGCCTCCTGCCCTCAGGGAGCTCAGGAGAGACCTGCTGGACTCAGCAAAACTGGGAGGCGCATGAGTGTGACCTCAGCTGTCCCCCTTCGCCTTGTGGCAATGCTGCCTGCCCCCACGGCTCTAGCCTTTCCCCTCACCCATGTCCCAAAGAGGGAATTCCAGGAGCCGTTGGCCAAAGCTTCCCCAAGAAGATAAGGTGTGTGTTTCACACTGAGGGACTGAGCTCTCTAAGCCCCCTGGGAGCACACCGCCGCCTGTGACCACAGAGCAGGTCAGCACCGCCAGGCTGGGTCCTGTTCTCCCTCCCTCTGGCCGGGGGGCAGCGTCAGGCCGGGCTGCGCAGAGAGAGGTGCTCTGATGGGAGGCCATCCCCTCCCTTCCCCCTCTCGATCCTGCCCACCCCCAGGCAGCGGGGTGTGGGCCAGAGTGAGGCTGGCGGGTGGCGGGAGCCACTTGGCTGGCTGCAAGCTCATGGCCATCCAGCATCTGCAGAGAGATGGGCGCCTGTCAGCGTGACACAGAACTGTTGCCCGGGGAACGGAATCAGGAGGGGCTGCAGATGGGCTCCAGGGGAGGATGATGTGGGGTGGGAGGGGCCGAGGCTACAGCAGACGTAACAGGCAGCCGCTGGCGCAGCTCCTGGCAGACCCCAACCTGTCCAGACACAAGAAGCCTCCAAGGGCACTTTTTCGTAAGCATTTTTTTTAAAGCAGTTGTTTCCCAGTTCCTGGGCGGTGCTGCCCCTCTTCCTTGGGGCTCTGGGAAATGTCCGGGATATTTAGGCTGAAATGGACCGTGAAGGCTTTGACCTGTGTGGCTGAAGGACCCAGGCTCAGGTCCGCCACCCTCCCCCTCCAAACCCATCTTTGCAAGTCTGAGCCTAACAGTGCGGTCACCGCACGGCTGAGAAGGCACCACAGGGGCCCCCAGGGACCCAGAGCGGAAGGGGCCAAAGTGAACAGCAAAGTGGCAACGGCCGCAAAGCTTGACCCTCAGGGGCGACGCCCAGGAGCGAGCTCTGGGGCTTCCACCCAGAGCTCACGTGTTTTCTCGGACAGCACAGCATGCAGGGCCCTGAACGTTCTGGAAAATGGCCACATCAGCCTTTTCACTCTGCACAGGTAGACAGCCCCACACGCTCCCCAGCGAACCTCTGAAGTCTGGACGGCGCCGCCTGGAGTTACCGATCTGGGAGAGAACTCCCGACCTCAGCCCCCGCGGCAGGAAGCAGGCCACTGGGTCTGACCCAGACCCACGGATGAGGGGTGGGGGGGGGCGCATCTGAGGAAAGGGCCTCTGATCCTTTACTTTTCTCCTGTGGGTTTTCCCCAACCCCATGCCCAGCAGGTCTGCCCATGTCATGGGGGCAGTTGGCCAGGCTGGGAGCGACGCATGACTTTTAAATAATACCCCCCCTTTTTTTTTTTGAAATTTAGGCCACATTAGTCATTTCTGGACACAATCCTAGAGGACAAGAAACCCCACTTCTCTTTGCACCTCTAGGGGCGGGCACGATTCCCACACAATTCTCTCATGTCATCCCTGAGATGCAAGCCCTTGTTTTACCTCGTCACTTCGATTGCACCAAACCGCCTTCCTTTCTCTCCCATTCTTTTAAGATGAGGAGGGGGTGGGGGAATGAAATTGTTGGGTAATATTCAACACCCCCCACTGGCTGCCCACGTCCCAGCTGTCCCCCAACAACCCTCCAATCTGGGCCCTTTTTTGTCGCCAAAATGAGACAGAAAAGCTGGTGCTGGCCTCCCGGCGGTGGGGCTGTGGGGGCCGTAGAATCGCGACCAGGGACACGGGGTGGCACCCCGCGGGGGAACCTGCGCGGGGTCCATTTTGGAAACCATTCCCAGAGAGGAAATGGCAGACTGGCGTCCTGGGCTTTACAATCGCCTCCTATCCGGAGCTTACACAAACACGGGGAAGAGGCTCTCCAGACAAGGCGGCGTTTTAAAGCAAAAAATACTGCTCCGAGGGGCGACCTGGCCAAGCTCCCTGGGGGGTTGCGGCGTGACGACCGACGCCCCCCCCCCACATATCTGGTCTCCCCGCACTATTCTCACCCACCCCCACCGGCTGCGAGGTCCCCAAGAATCGGGATGGATTCTCGGGTTACCGCACGCGCCAGCGTGCGTGGTTCCCAGGGACGTTCTAGAGACAGCAGCAGGAACCCAGGGGTGCGGGGAGGCCCCGCAAGTAGCGAGGCGATTACTGGGCAGAGCGGCGAAGGGAGAGAGTAGAGGGCTTCGCGGTGCCCAGCTGCCCGTGTCCCTTCCGCAACGCGGTGCAGGGACTCGGGGAAGGAGGGAGGTGTGCTCAGGGGGCACGGCGCCAGCTCTGCAGCTCAGGCTCTGGGCGAGGCCGCGGCGCGCTGGCGCTAGGGCTCTGGGAAGGCGGCCCGCTGGCCCGGACAGCTCCTTACCTGCAGCCACTACGGCCGGGGCCAAGGGCAGGAGGCAGGCGAGCCAGAGGATGCCACTGACGCGCGGGCAGAGGGCCAGGGCCATGGCGGCTCCCGGAGCAGCAGTGGCCGGAGAGGACACGCTGGCCGCTACTCTGCGCGCGAGGCGCGTGCTGTGCGGGGAGGTGAAGGCTCGGCGCTCTCTCTTCCTCGCTTTGGGACCCTGTGTTGCTGCGCGCAGCCAGCCGCACCGACCCTGGCCCACGTCAGCTGCTCAGCTGCCCCCCCTCCCCGCATCCCTTCCCGCGCTCCCCCTCTCCCTGTACTCTCCTCTTCCTCACGATCTTCCCCTCTGCTCCCCCGGCGGTACTCCTCCAATCTGCCCCCCTCCTGCGCCCCTCTCTCCCCATATTTCTCCAGTCTGCGCTTCCTCCCCCCATCCTCCGCGCCGCCTCTGACTCAGCGTCCCCAGAGGCGCGCGCAGCACTGCAAATGCGCAAGCAGCCCCTTTGGGGTCTTCTTCAGGTGCCTTCTCTGATCGTAAGGCATACGGCTTAGAGGTGCAGTTCTTCATTCGAAGAATGAAGCGCCTACTGTGTGCCAGGCTCTGGGCCAAGGGCCTGGAAACACCTTCCTTCCTTCCAGAGAGAGGGACTTGAGCGCAGAGATGCATGCTATTCCTCAGTTTACCTTCTCTGTGCTGCTATGAAATTGAGTGTGTGCTCCAACCTGGACCCGCAGCCATGTTAACAAAGACTCGAACAACCGTGACAAGGAGCGACCAGACTGCTCTTGGGACACTCGCTGCCCTAAGCAGCCCCTTCCACCTGCCACACTGAGCAGAGGGTGTCTTTCCTCCGGGACGGTGGCCAGGCCTCGCTGGCCCTAAAGGTGGGACACTAACAGCCTGGGGCCGGCTCTGCGTCACTCTGCACCTGGGCAAGGGGTGGAGCCCAGAGGGCAGAGGTCGTGCAGCTGAGGTCAAGCACAGCCTGCCAGGCAGGACTCTGAGGGAGAACATTCCGGACCAGAGGATTAGCTGCAAAGGTGCTAGGTGGGCATGAGGCACAGCGAGGCCATCGTGGCTGGAACAGGGTGCGTGAGGCTGGAAGGTGGGCAGGGCCAGGTAATGAGAGCAAGCTGAAAAGTCTTCGGAAGGTTTTATTTAGAAGGGAGGAGTGATCTAGTTTACCTGTGAGAATGACAGGGACCCGGTCCCCGACCTCTAGTTCAGGAGGTAGGCGATAAAACCGTTAAAGACGGTAACAGCATGATGGGGGGTGTTAGGGCCATGCGGAAGCAAAGGGATTTCCGCTGTGGTAGGTCTAGGCCTAACTGTGGAGGTCTTTATCCAAGGTAGGTAAGGTGCAGCTTATCAGAAGATTTGTCTACAGCTCCTCCCCCTTCTCCCCATTGATATTAAACGACTCAGCACACTGATTTCAGCCCTCAGATTTGTCAGCCTTCCCCGACTCCGGACCGCCTACTTCTGGGGTTTTGGTGGTGGAGGAGTGGAGAGGATTTTGTCTACAAGTGGGCCACTTCTTCCAGGGGGAAGGAAAGGGTGTTCCGACCCATTTTGTTTCTCCTGGGGAAGAAATGATTGGCACTAAATACATCCACTCACAACCCCAGCACTTCACTGGTGGAGACATGGAACGAGCGAGGAGCGTGTTTCCCGCCCAAGATACCTTTCCTCCAGGGTATCGGCTGGTGTTGCAAGTTCTACTTAATGCAAGATGTGAAATGTATCTGTCTGGGGAGGGAACACAGAGATTTGTGGGAGTTCGCGATGATGGGGAGTGGGGGCTCAGCACTGTCAGGAAGGGGCGGGGCATGGAGGCGGGTCCTGGAATTCGTAGAGGTCAGCATTTTCCAGCTCTGTGCAGCTAGCATGGTAACCGTGGGTTACACGAACAGCTCATTATTCAACTTCTCCCATAGATGGAGTCTTTAGGTAAGCCAATGACGGGAGTGGGAAGCTAGGGTGGTTCAAATGGTGCCTCTGGAGTCACCCCGCCAAGGGACGCCGTGTCTTAGGTAACAGCGGTAGGAGGAAAAAAGGCCGCTAAGCCCCTCCTTCTGATGAGGTCATGAAAGGGGCGGGGACTTTGCCGAGCGACGTAGCAGGCGCAAAGTTCTCATTGCATTCTGGGAGTTGTAGTCATTAGCCTGGTAGTGCTACCGGGAGGACTACATTTCCCAAGAAGCCTGCGAAGCCGTGCGTTCACACGCCGGAAGGAGTCCGCTCCACGAGGATTTAGGAGCGAGGGGCGCGGAGTCTGAGTTACCTGTGCAGTGGCCAGCGTGATGCCTAAGGCCAAGGGGAAAACGCGGAGGCAGAAGTTCGGTTACAACGTTAACCGGAAGCGCCTGAACCGGAATGCTCGACGGAAGGCAGCCCCGCGCATCGAGTGGTGAGGGTGCCGGGGTTCAGGAGGCTGCGGGCCTCGGCCGGGCCGGCCGGCGAGGTGACAGTTCCGCGCTCTCTCTGTCTTTAGCTCCCACATCCGACATGCCTGGGACCACGCCAAATCCGTGCGGCAGAACCTGGCCGAGATGGGGTTGGCTATGGACCCCAACAAGGCGGTGCCCCTCCGCAAGAGAAAGGTACTGACACGGCGGGCTCCCGGCCCTGGCCCCCGGCCCCCGCCGTCGTTAGCTGGGTGTGAGGACTGGGTCCTGCCCTTTGCCTCCCTCACGCCCGTCCTCGTTTGCGACCTCGCCACGGCGAACTCGGCCAGCGGCTGAGGGTCCCTCTACGACCTCCGCCCTACACCCCAGCACGCACTGGCCCTGGGTTGGAGCTTCTCCTTCACTCATTTTTTTTTCTCTGAAATTAACTTGCTTGCGTCCACTGGTATCTAAATGATATTTCCCAGGACTTACCTTTTTCTGTCCTTAACTTTCATCATAAGATGAAAGATCCCCAGGTTTTGGGATCTTTACTTACTGTTCGTTACCTCTCTCCCTAGTCATCCAGCCTCATTGGTCTGAGGCTTCTCTGGGGCCAGTGTCTCCCAAGGAAGGATTCTCTGGGCCACCCTTTTAAAAAATAGCGCCCTTTCACTATTCTTCCCTGCATTATTTTACCTTGCAGCACTTGTAAATACCCGGTGGTGTGTTACCCATTTGTTCATGTTTCCTGGCTGGGCCTCTTTTCCCCAACATAATCTCCTTGGGGCATTGGTGCTGGGATGGGCAGGAGCCTCTAGAAGTTTCCCTCATCCAGGGTCCACCTTTCATCTACAGCTCTCCCTGGCTCTTCTCTGCAGGTCAAGACCATGGAGGTGGATGTGGAGGAGAGGCCTCAGGAGCTGGTGCGGAAGCCCTATGTGCTGAATGGTGGGTTGGGGCCGCATTCCCCTGGGTCGCCATCCAGCGTGGTCAGGTCTGGAAAAGGGCAGGTGGAGGGACTGGGGGTCAGGGGGAAGACCTGAACTGGTCCCGGGCCCACGGGGTCAGGGCTGTGTCCCTGGTGGGAACGTTTACAGTCTGCTCACCAGACTCAAGTGCATGAAGTGCGGTCAGAGGTGTTCAGGGAGGGTGGAACCCGCTGCCTGGGAGGCTAGAAGGGAGACCATCAAGTCTCAGGCGCACATTTCAGCTTCTCCGGAATTTCAGGATGAACGGATTTTTTTAGAGATTTGACCGTCTCATTTCATTTTCCCAATGACCAATCTGTTCCATGTTCATTAAGGCGGCAGAAACTGAATATTAAAACAGAAGAGTACAATCCGCGGGGAGGACGGATAGTCTGGGATCCTCCACGCATCCTTCCTGTTACCTGAGATTTTTAAGTTCCGAATGTAAAAGGGTTTGAGTGGCCAGATGTTTGGCACAGAGTTCCTTGAGGCCCCGTCTGTAGCGGTGACTCTCATGAGAAGCACGTTGCTAGCTTGCACATATAAAATCAAGTACTTACTGTAGTTGAAGCTAACTTCAAGTTTTTTTACTATAAGCACGTTTAGCACTTAATTCCAGATAAGATTTGACCACCTTGTCTCCGCAAGCTCTGTCTCTGCCTTCGTAGATGAGAAATGAGAAACGTCTACCTCGCTGTTTCAGGAGTGAAAAGCCAGGCTCCCCAGCTCCCCAGCCTGGCTTTTTCCCTCCCGTGGAACAGGGAAGAGCCGGGGTCCCGCCTGAGGCCCTGTTTCCCATTTGCGCAGATCTTTCCGTTTCGTGCATCAGTGTCACACTTCAAGAAAGAGGTCAGCCCTGGCTGGTGTGGCTCAGCGCATTGAGTGCTGCTGGCCTGCGAACCAAAGGGTCGCCGGTTCGGTTCCCAGTCAGGGCACATGCCTGGGTTACAGATTAGGTCCCCAGTACAGGGAGCATGCGAGAGGCAACCACACATTGATTTTTCTCTCCCTTACCCACTCTAAAAATAAATATTTTTTTAAAAAGAAAGGTTCTTTGTTTTAGAGCTGGAAGGGGGGTCCTGTCCCTTGATCTCTGCCCTCAGGACCTGGCACTAAGGAGAGATCAGTTTCCCCCCTTCCTCTTACCCATCTGAGACCCAAAGACATGACTGCATCGCAGGCAGAGCCTGGGACCCGAGGGGCTGCAGAGGGAGGTTTTGGCACTGAATGTGGGATGGAGAGGCAGAGCCCATCAGATGGCTGGTGTAGCAACTTTGTGGCTTAGGACCGCGTGAAGGGGTGACCGGGCAGCTCAGGTCGCGCAGAAAGCAACGCCTCATCCCGTCTCCCGGCTTCTCTCGCCCCAGACCTGGAGACAGAAGCCAGCCTCCCAGAAAAGAAGGGAAACACACTGTCTCGGGACCTCATAGACTACGTGCGCTACATGGTGGAGAACCACGGGGAGGACTACAAGGTGAGCGACTCGGGCTGGCGGAAGGAACCTCGTGGGCCTGTTGGGAAGGCGCCCTGGGCCGGTGATGACCCGATCTGCTTGCCTTGTGCCCATTTCCTGTGCGGGAACAAAGGGAGGACTCCGGGGGATGGGTCCCGCTGACGACAGTGCTCGTGGCTGAGACAGACTGAGTGGCGGTCCCATGGGGGTGGTTTTGCTTGCATGGTCCTTCCAAAGAACTTGAACTACTTACCTTTGTAGTTACGGGAGGGCTCAAATCGAAGTCCCTATTTTTTTGGCTTCTGTTAAAAATGGAGAGGTCTAGCTACATGGGACCCCCGAGTCCAGGGGGACTGGTTGGCTGTGGGTGCAGCATGAGCTGCTCAGCCGGCCTCTGCGGTGTCTGCACCCACGTCCCCCCATCACTGCGGCTTTCGTGGTGAGGAGTCTGAACCTCCAAAACAGGAAGTGGCTTGCCCACCTTCAGCGGACCAAGGATTTGAACCT